TCTACCACAGAACGGGCTGCGCGCTTTCGAGGAGCGCTTGATAGCAAGAAAGCTCGATTTCTTGCTATGGGGATGGAACTACATCTGTGCGGATATGGTGCGCGAGTGGCTAGAGCCACAGGGACCACCCTCGCGCGGATTGCGTGCGCATGTTGATCGGTGGACAGTCCAAGATTGGGCGCAGGCTTTGGGAAGATGTGCCGGCATGCCAGGGCACCTCCTCTTCGACAGTGAGAGCATCAAGGTGACCAAGTAGGAAGAGGCGCAATTTGTGGAGCTGTTCAAGACCGGGAGGTCTACCAAGAATGGGTACAGGACCCGCGATTACAAGGATCGATTCCGCCGGACTTTGTCCGCGGCGCTGATGCAATTACTGCAACCACACCGCGCCTGCTACGTCACATTGTGGCAGGTCTCTTTTGTGGAGTGCGTCATCGAGGGAACTCCAATTCACTAGGCGAGCATCCTGCACAGGGTGATGCGACAGCACGCTTTTGAGGAGAAGGGGGGAACTCTAAACCATCTCTCTCCTTTCCTCATCAATTTTTATCAACAGCGGAATTGTTTGACAGCGGCGGAGCTTGAGCGTTTTCCGCCGTTGTCCGTCGACCATCCCGGGAAGTATGTGCGGGAGAATGAGGTCGACACTGATGCAGAGGAGTCACCGACTTCTACTCCGTCAAGGCGGAGGGACGAAGGGAGGAACACTCCTGCAGCACGAGCGCCGCGGAAGCGGCGATGGAGAGAGGAGTCCGAAGAGGAGCCGCATCAAGAACCCTCTGCTCCCATTCGACCGCGGCCGTTGTACGAGTCATACAGCCGGCCGAAGCAGAAGGCACGCAGACTGGTGTTACCAGCCAACAGTGCGGACACGGCGACGATTGCGACGGAGAAAGGAAGTGCGTCGCCAGAGAAGAATGAGGAAGCGCGGACGTCCGCAGGAGCAACGGACCACGCTGCAGCCTCGACGGGCGAGAGGCCGCCTACGGGCCAAGAGCCTCCGGAGTTACCGCGTGCGTTGCGGACAGGTGTTCCGTTTGCGCACAGGCGAGTCTCCGCGGACAGACGAGACTCCGCGGACGGACGATCACAAGCGGACGTAGATCTACGCCTACGCGTGGGAAGAAGCAGTCCGCCTGTGCACAGGTCACCTCCACACGTGCCGCCTGTGCACAGGCAGGACTCACCCCCGTTCCAACGTAGGAAGGGGAAGGAGCCGGCGAAAGAGCCGCCTACGAGACACCGGCCTTCGAGGCCAGACCCTCCGGCGCACAACGCGCCGCGATTTGCGCCTTCGGCGCCAGGGCCTTCGAGCCGAAGAGATACGAGCAGGGAGTGTGCGGAGGCCGCACCATCGGCGGGTAATCCGCCGGTAGATGCGCCTTCGGCGGTAGGGCCTCAGGGCCAAAGGACATCGGGCGAGCGGCCCCCGGCCATGTCGCCTTTGGCGATGGACGTCCGCGGCGCTACGCCTGCGGCGGACAAGGCGCCGGCATTTGCGCCTGCGCACAGGCCAAGCACAGCCCCCGCGGGCCGATCAAGGGAGCAGCAACTGGCGGAGGAGCGGAGTGACTGTCCGCGGGATGCAATTTTGGTGCGCGATGCGCAATCAAACCCCGCGCAGCCACCCTCCGCTCGATCGCCTTCGGCGGCGGACGTCGGCGGCAGAGAGGATACGGTAGACGATCGACAAGCGGGCGGCGGGGATGCAGCACGGGCACATTCGCCTACCGCCTTAGACATTTTGGCGAAGAGCAGCGAGGCTGCAGCCGTGCCTTCGCAGGCAGCACACGTCGACGACGTGCAGCCCCACTCGGGTCAGTCGCCGACGCAATCAATGGCAACTGAAATTCTCCACTCGGATGATGACGACGGAGGCTCCACCGAAGAAATGTCAGGAGCAGGGGACACCGAGGAGGAGGAGGAGGAAATTGTTGGAGCGCCGGCGGCGGCGCTCTCTGAGCAGGTGATTCCATGCTGAGGTACTTGGATCGCAAAGTCGATAAATACGCCGACCCACTTCAGCCGGGATCTTACATCGAGTTAGTGCGCAGGCGGACTCGCACTAAAGTCCACACCAGCAAGCTACTAGCTAGAGTGGACCAGGAGTTGAGGGAATTGAAGGAGAAGCATGAATGCTTGTGGGGTCAGTATAAACTCAATCAGAAATTCTACAAGTACTCCGAGAAGGTGAGGGATGGGAAACTGGAAGAGCTCACCAAGGAGCAGGTGAAGGTCACAGAAGCACTAATTTCTGAGCAGGACCAAAATCGGATTTTGTCAGAGGAGCTCGTGCGACAGACGCGGTTGTTAGAACAGTGTCAGCTCGCACGACAGGCGGATGAGGATGTAATCCGCAGGCTATAGTTAGAGTGGGTTCGACCTTTCTACCACTATATTGCAGTTTTAGCCTTTAGTGGGTTATTATAGAAAGACACTTGCCAAGAAGTGATGTACGTTGTTCGGTGCGGCTGTAGGAGTTGCAGAAGTGCCATCGCTAAGTTTCTGCGGAAGCTATCTTTGTAGTCACGGGTCCTATACCCGTTCTTGGTGGACTTCTCTCTCTTGAACAATTCCGTGAAGGAGGCTTCTTCCGCCTTTGTCACCTAAACGCTCTCACTATCAAATAGGAGGAACCCGTTCTGGCCTGCACATCTCCCCAACACTTGTCCCCAATCGTGGACAGTCCAACGATCTACGTGCGGTCGGAATCCGCGCGTAGGTTGATGTCTCTCCCTTTGCCATTCGCGCACCATGTCCGGGCACACGTAATTCCATCCCCACAGTAGGAAATCGAGTTTTACTATAATCAGCCGGTCCTGAAAAGCTCGCAACCCAATCTGCGGAAGCTTGAGTGGAACCATCCGCAGCTGAGTGGACTTCGACATCGCGTTCTTGAAATTTGATTTCGTGAACCTTCCTCCGCTACCCTCAAGCTTCTTGCTCACTACTTTGATTCTCCTGCAAACTCTAATCTCTCTTGATTCCGACTGTCGCCCACTCAATTCTCTCTCTGTCACAGTGTGAGTCTTTGCGCGGTGGTGTCTGGAATGTCTCTCGGCTAGAAGGTGGACGCGCGCAGCTCGCACAAGGAATTGAAATCGCAAATTCAAGAATGGAGTGTCCGTTCTCCGCTCGCAGGATGTCATGGTCGGCACTCGGTCGTGAACGTCGACTCACTTGATGGCTGCGCCGGCTCGGAGGTGTAACGGCCCTCCTCTTGCACGCGCGGCTTCACGCTCCGCCGTCGCGTGCACTCGCATGCTCGAAATGTCAATTTGAACTCCGCCAGCGTACATCGCCGCGGCCATGGTCGCGCAGCGCCGAAGGCGTCTTTCTCGCCAACGCGTTACTCGCATTCACACTCCGACTCGCATCACATCGCGCTACATCGCTTTCACACTCCGACTCGCATCGATCCCGCACCGCCGTAGGCATTCCTCCGCACGCTCCGCCGAAGGCGAACTCCTTCCGCCAAAGGCGGATTCCCCGACGGGCTTCCTGCCGGCTCCAAATTCCATCCGCCTGTGCGTAGGCGCTGACCGCCAGCGCCGAAGATGTCCGTCGGCGTAGGTGCATCGCCGAAGGCGCAGCGCCGAAGGCGACTGTGCCAAAGGCGTTGACCGCGGTCAACGGATTTCGTCCCGATTGTCAATCTCTCTCGCCTCTCCGCAGGCGCTCTTGACTCCGGAGTTCCGTTTTGCCGAGGGCGCACCCGTCCGTTCCGCCGTAGGCGTTGGGCCGAAGGCGGACCGTACGGATTCGCTACCCCGTAGGTACTTACCTAATCTTGATGCGCTGGCGCCGTAGGCGCCGTACGAGCTTCACCCCCGAAGGCGAACTTCTAGGGCCGAAGGCGTATATTCCGCCAATGGCGAAGTGCCTACGCGCAAGCGAATTCCTTCCGCCTATGCGTAGGCAGAATTCCAGGCGGACTTCCCGCCGAAGACGAACTCCTTCCGCCTATACGTAGGCATTCGTCTTCGCATATTCCGACAGTCACAACTCCTTGAGTCCTCATCCGTTCCAGGTGTTCTTGGGCTCGTTAGAGCGAGCGCGTTGAGTTCTTTCCAACAAGACCCTGAGAAAGTCAAGGAGTTGTGAATTGCATGAACTCTGAGGGATCTCCTTAGCGCCAAAGGCATACCGCCGAAGGCGGATTATGCGCCTTGCGCCGAAGGAGAACTCCTTCAGAATTGATCGTTCAGGTCGGGCGCCTGTTCCGGACATTGCGCCCAACTTCTGGATTCTACGAGATCATGTGAGATCCGCGATTATCCATCTTCACTCTATTTAAATGTACCGATCACCATTTACACGGCTGCTGCGGTAATGTTTTCCAAAATTGTTTTAAATTCCGCACAAAAGCAACAAGTGGGTTACCACAACCAAGCTTTCATAAACTACACAAAGACTTTCATCCTAAAGGGATGGTAACATCCAATAGAAAAGCAAAAATGTAGCATTTTGCTACATTTTCTGGAATCAACCCGTTATACAAAGCTAGTTGCCAAGAGCATCTAGTAAATTTCATCATGTAACTTAGATATAAAACGTAATTAGGTGAAAGATATTGCATGGACATGATCTAGTACTCATAAAAACTCAAGGTTCTTGTAAATGATATGTTTTTGTTACTCATTACTTACCTACGTTAGAGCAAGCTTTAGTCTGTAGAATTTTGATATAAATTAACTCCAAGAACGAATAATTTGATTTGGTGTTGCTGGTAATTAAAACATTCCTTACTTATTCTTACAGCTTGAGATTGATTGTCCTCTAAAATTCTTGAAAACTGTATCATAGTCAAGGATTTAGTCTCCAACTCATCAAATTTGTAATGACTTAAGCTTTGTAATGACCTAAGCTTACACAAAGCATAAAGAAATAATCAGGAAAGTAAGCATGTTTGAGATAAATAAAGAAAATATACTTCGAACCATTCCTGGAGGTCTACGATGTGGATCAGAAGCGCGCGTTGCATCGCTTCTGATCCATCTCGTGCACTTCCCGGAGGCCGGAGCTCGACGAGCTTCAGATCAGAATCTCGCACCAAAATAGCTAAGGAATAGCGAAATTTTAAGGCCCTGACCTCACCGCTGCGGATGATGATGGCCGAGTCCGGGAACTCGAACCGAACCACGCCTACGCACCCAGCCCCTGCACACGAACAATGTCCAACGAAGGCGGCCGTCGGAACCAATCCATCTGCGCTCACGAAGCGGACCGAAGTCGTAGTCGGATGCCAAGTCTCGAGGACTCGGGCTACCGTAAGGAAGAATCGGTCTATGCACGAAAATCAAGGAGGAAATAAACAGCAGCTCTAAAGTAGTGGAATGTAGAGGAGTGTAATGGAGCGAACTCATTTCACAGCGTCTTTCTCTCCGCCGGGCTCACTATTTAACTCGAGCCACCCGCGACAGGAGCAGCGGCCTCGGGGCGGGGCAATGCGTGGCGGGACGCAGTATTCGGAGGCGGGGCGGGGCGCAGGAGAGCGCGGGAGCTGTCAGAGACCGAACGGAGTCGAATAATCTCAGTCAGACTGTCGCCCATCTGTACGCCAGAGAGCAGTTCAAGCTGAAGCGAAATAGCTGAAGCGGTTACCCATTTGTAGGGCTGAGAGCACCTCGCAGCTATGTTGAAGTTGAAGTGAGGGGATCGCTCACTTGTTGTGCTGGGAGTCAAATATACTCAATAGCAAAGATTACTAATTAAAGTTTTCATTGCAAATAGCCGATCTTCACGATAAACTTAGACTATTTGACTATACATTTAATTTGGACATTAGGCCTTTGGTATATTTTGCTTATGTTCGATATATATACTTTCTTCACGCTGTGCACTGTCAGAAACAGTGAGAGACGATCAAGCGATTATGCATTAGACAAGAAACTGGGTATATTTCATCTCCAATGTTTCAAGAAAGATATTTGGATCGTGACGAGAAACACCTGATGACCGAAGTCTTTTGAGTCTGGTCCCGAACTGCTGATGTTCAGCAGTCAGGGATAAAGCGAGAGTTCTATAACGCTACGCTATGGCAAGACTACCTCCGGCAAGAGTTTCTAAGTTTCTTGTGATTCTTGAAACATAATTTTAGCTTCCTCCATCCATTGAGGTAAGTGTTTTGGATCAAAGTTCAGGATGACTCAAGTCTACACATTTTGTCTCAGATTTTATGGTGTTCATGTTCACGGCTGGAAGAATGTAGAAACTTGTGTTTGTTAGGACCATTCCCAGACATCGGCTTTTGTTGAACCTACTGTGAGTTTTTCTTATTTCTTGTACACTTCAAAAATCCTCTTCTGAGGCCCAGACTTGCTGCAACGGACTTCTTGAATGGTTAATAATGAGCTCTTCATTCTCTACTCATGTCTATGTGATAACAAAATAAAAATATGCGACTTCCAGTCAACATGAATAAACCTCTGAGAATGGCAGACAGTTTGTCTGCCATTCTCAGAAGTTTGAGTTGTATCTTGGCTTTTGATTTATCACTTACATGCTTAGTCGCCAGACCATCTAACTTTCTATAAAATAATGACACAAAATGTTATGAATCGACGTAAAATCAATTCCTCCTGTGTTCTGAGGAGATCCACCTCAATTGTGCGTAGGGGGTTTGGAAATTACCAACTCTCCGGCGGACTGAGTACGGTAATACCAATCGACTTTTTGGGCCAGAGCTGCTAGAGGACTATTGTTTTATATTTTTATAATAATGACTATAATAATAAGGGCAAGGGTCTAGCCCCGTCTCTGTTAAGCATTTTTGGCCGTGACTAATCCGATTATGCACTGCCAAAATCCAAGCTCGAAGTAATCTTATTTGGTCATCTGTTCGCTTTTCTTGAAATCCACCATAAATTTCAATGACTGCGTGCATTCGGAACCATTCCTCCATTGAGGGCAGTAAAATAAATGATAATGAAAAAAACGAGTCTTGCAAAAGGTTGAAAACCCATAATCCCTTTCTTACCAACCAAAGTAGTTTACAAGACATAAAAGCACAAACACGGTTTATGAAAAAGTACCAGCCGAAGAATCGGCAAAATGAAAAACCAATAAACATTCATTTATAATACCATTGTAGAAAACGTCCTAGGAACTGAAGACTTGCGGTCCAAGAAGATAGATGGATCAAACATTATTATCAAATCTGAACTGAACATGCACTGAGCTTAACAAAATCGGGCATTGTGTTAAGCTCAGTGTATGCATATTTATATGAAGTTTGCATGGATCAAAAGATTTTGTCGACAAATTATAAAGGTTCTGGTCCATTTCTCACTACTGCACTTTCTGACTCTTAACATTACACACTCTCTTGAGGTTGGAGTTCTATTTTCGATCAATGTATACATGAAATACACATGAAGTAGTGATTAAGATATCAATAAGCTATAAATTTGTACGTCGATATCGTCAAGCACTAGTACTGGCAGTTTTGGGCTGTTTTGTAACCGTCATGATAGAAGGTGCAATTGCTTTCCAAGCTGGCCGATTTGAAATCAACTGCCACCATGTCAGGACGTGTGGTCTACGAAAAATAACGTTAGGTTTCTTTGCCACCCTAATCAGGTAGAAGATTGTAGGAAGATGTGAAAGATCAGCTAAGCTGAAGAAATCTCCAGCTAGGTACTTTTGTCTGGAAAGGTGTGCTTCATAAACATCTAAAACTCTGTCCAGCCTTTCGTAATGGGTCGTCACCAGCTTGGTATCAGGATCTTCACCTCTGGACATTGTGAAGACCAGTTCATTCAAAACAATCGAAATGTGTGGATTAAAATTATGACTCTCGACCTCCAGCCACTGCTCGACCAGAGCTCGGTCTCTGTTAGAAGATCCATAGAGCGGAGTTCCTTGGCCCTCATACTTGTCTGCAAGGTATCTAATAACTGCTCGGGACTCTGCACACGGAGAAGAAAAGGAAAGTTCTTTCAGCTAGACCGGAAGATTTAATGTTATTTCCTAGTCGACAGGAGGATAAATTTCTCATATAACTGGAAATCCTTGCAAGCCTTGATGCTCTATGCGCTACAAGGCAATCAAACGGAGCTATGAACATGGCAAATGTACAAGTCTTTCATCTAAGGTTCAGTGCTATATATTTTTCAAAATATAAATAAATAACAAATAAATATATCTGTTTGAGTGTGCGCGCACGCATTGTGAGGTGATTTAACTATTAACTGAAAAAACTGAGGTGATTAAGCTATGTTGCATGTGAAGCACAGGAATTACCGAACAAAGTGAGGTCACCATCTTGAAGTGCTGGAACCTGCCCAAACGGCTGACCAAATATTGTCACTATGTCAGTATCATTCACAAATGATTGTTGTGGGCAAAATTTTCCCTGTAAAAAGCATACATGCCGATACTTTGTACAGATGCTAAGAATTGGGAGCAAGGGAGCAAGTTCTCAACAATGATATATATATATAGAGATCCACTTCAGTGTGTACCTGTATGGCCAGATACTGCGGTTTCTTTTGATCACCAGCAGATATATCTACTGGTATATGTTGCAGTTGAGTTTTATCCAGTCCCTTTTCGGCTGCCGTGACCAACACACGTGTTGTGCATATCGATCCGGGTACTCCATACAATTTCATGTTCCAAACTTATGAATCTACAGAATCGAAAATTGTTTCCTGAATAGCAGTTATGATTACATGTAGAAAATCTGGATCTAGGAAACGATATTATTAGTGCTCCTCTGACAGACAAAAAGCCTCGAAAATCATCCCCCAGTTCGAAGTGTGGGATGGTTTCCAGAAATGGCATGAAATCAGTAGTGAAATCGGATGCAAAGTCACTCTATGGGAAGGGCACTTACAACTTACGAGACCAAGAACAGCGAGTAAACCGATAAAGCGCCGGGATGCAGTCTTGAATTATATACCGACTGAGGTCTAGCTTCTAATGGACAAAAGATATTGAAACTGCCAGCAAGGTAGTATGCAAGGATATACATATATATATACACCCGAACTGACCTTGATTGCAGTGTGCGTGTAATGAAGGATTGGACCGAATTCTGTAGACCAGAATTCTGGAGTTTGGCAGCGAAAGTCACGGAATTGTTCTGTTCTTGTTTGCTTAGCCACACCTCTCTTCGTGCTCGTCGAGATACTTCAGGTCGTATTCTAGTGTTAGAAATCTAGACTAATTGTGGATGGACTCTCACATCATCTGCATGACCGACTTAAGTCTCGCAACAAGGTATCGTCAAATCAAGAATCTGATCACTTTTCGTGATTGCTGCTACATTTAGTGGATGTGGTATTTCACCAAGAACTCTATAAGGATTAATCAAAATATAATATATCATTATATAAGAGAAACAACGTAAATAGAAAGAGACAATTTTCATGTGTAAAGGGCATAGAAGGTTGGAATTCTCTAATCACTTCGACCCTTGGATGTACTCTTGTCTATGTATTGTAATTGATTCCGTGGTGCATAATTTTTTAAATTTACTATTAATTCAAAAAATTTATAGTAGCGTATTGAAGGTGGCGGCTGCCGCCGCAGTCTAAACGAGGCTAAAAGTTGAAAGGAAGACGCAGGCGCGGCAAACGCACGCCAGCGTCTTGCATGGCGGGTACACGATAAATTAAGCCGCGTGTTCGTTAGAGTCTCAGTCGCTGCGATTCAATGGTTTGCAATTTCCACGTGATGCATTCGTTTGCACCCGAAGGTTGGTGATGAGCATTGACGCATTGAGGTCAATCTGTCGAATGGTGAATCGAGGAGATTGCAGGAGGACCAAGGGCTTTCAAAGCGAGAAGGTCCCGACTGCTCATCGGAGTGATTGAAAAGAGTCAAGATTGACTAAAAAGAAGCAGAAGGAGACCCGAACCGGAATAGTGGTCCCAAAATGCAGCGCAGGAAGTTTGCGAAGTATGGCACCAAACCTCGAAAACTGATTCCGGGACTTAAAGTTATTGACGAGGAGGGAGGTATACAAGAGTCCGGAACTCCATACAAGACTTCCAGGTATTCTGAGCTCGTCCAGTGTGGCAGTCTGGAAGAATGTGGTCGGCAGAATCTGAGGAAGGGCGTGGTCGCATGGGTTGTGTTCGGAGTATTTGCGGTACCCGCCTTGTTACTTCTGACCCCATTCTTAGTACTACTGGGCCTTATTTGGGGGGCTATAGTTACAGTCCTTGTGGTTTGGGGATCTTTCATGTACATATTCTTCCGGCTGCTTCTGCATCTAGTGAAAAAATTCCCAGCCACTGAGAAGTGACAACCATGAAACTTCTCATCTGTGAATTCTTGCTGCTGTAAATTCTGGAGTTGATGTACAAGAAGCTTGCCGTGCCAAGTTGAATCAGAGCGAATTGAGTACGAAAATGTTTCTGCCAAGTTCATGCATCCATTGGCCTGTCTTCTTGACTTTTATCCCCACTTCATGCAGCTGATTAGATTTACATGAGAGTCGACAAGAAAACACGATGAAATCTGTATAAGAGACGCATGATTTGAAGTACAATATATCATTACGAGCTTTGCAACTTCCAAATCCACATTGTATTTCTGATACAGTTTTATTGCCAGTAAAATCAGCAATTCGATGCATGTCAATCTCTTATACTTATGCTTCTCATTGCAAGAAAGCGACTGTGAAGTCCGACGTTGAATAATGGTTTCACCATAAGTAGAGACATATTGTGAAACCACTTGTGTCTGATTTTTTCTTGAATCCAGGAGAATTGATTTGAGATGCATTGTTCCAAGCTTATGTAAGATAGTATGTGTTTTGGCTTGGCCAATTTATGTCATCACACCCCTAATGATTGATTTGGCTTAAAGAGAGCCAAAAGAATATATTGCTGAGAGCAACTCATCATACAAAGTGTTTAAGAGCAGTCTCTTTGATGAGACGATCATTAGAAGCAACTCTTAGCCAGAAACTGGACCCGAAAATCAAAATCAAGAATATCTCAAGAAAATGCATTTCAAATCAAGCACATTGGATCTTGTCCTAGTGGATCTTGTCCACTTCTTCAAGGGTTGGGAATCCATTGAGTTAGACTCTTTGTTCATTGAGTTCATATGGTGCGTATCTTTAACAAGTCCAAACACTCATCTGGATGAGGAAACTAACTCATGATGTATTTAGTCGTCATTCTATCCAACTTTGGCACCAAAGCTTTATGACCTCCTTCCGTCTTGATGGCTTTTTTCTTCTACCTAGCAATCGGTTTTCCATTGTGTTCTCTTCTGATTCTCTGTGAGCACAAAAATGCGCTCACATGTCTTTTTAACCTTATAAGAATTAAAATTTTTGATTTAAGCTCTTGCAAAATTATGCTTGGGGTTTTCTGAAAATTTTGGCAAGATTAGGAGTTGGTGTAATGGCTAATAGGCAAAGATGCGGAAAGGAACCTTCTGCGGTAGCAGGCCTTTGGTGAAGTGCCTTCGGAGCAAGGCCTTCGGGGCAAGGGTAAAATCGTCATAACTTTTTCAATTCTTAACGCTTGATTCAGTTAGGATCTTTTTGGAAAGAGCTCAAGACGCTCGTTCCAACGAGCTCAAGAACTACTAAAACGGATATAGGATCATTGAGTTATGAGCGTCTAAAGTGGCTAATATGGTTAGGTGAAGGGACTTCGGTGAAGTGACTTCGGAGCAAGGCCTTTGGCGGAAAGGTAAAACCGTCATAACTTTTTCAATTCTTAACGTCTTGTAATAACCCACTAAAGGCTAAAACTGCAATATAGTGGTAGAAAGGTCGAACCCACAGGGACAGAGGAACACACAGGGTACAAAGTGTCACGTTTAACAGACTATTGAGGAGTTTGAATTCTCAGGCAACTGTCACTCCCAGAAATACTGCAAGTGTCCACTCGGAGCGCACTCGGAGGTCGCACAGTGCAGCGTAACACACACACACACACCTGAAACTACAGAAACACAACCCAGAGATCCGTTAGGACCTCTACTTCAAGATTTCAGGGGGAAAGTCTCTCAAGAGTACACTCAGCGAAGCTGCGGGTAGTGACTTCCAACTCCAGCTTTTACAACGCTTCCACTAGCTTGCTGCTAGCGTAGGAAACCCGGTTTGGACTGCCTACTTCGGATCGAAGTCACTCATACGCGGTGAACAACACTCTCAACTCACAAAACGCGCAGAGAACACAGGTCCGCACTGAAGGACTCACTGTGAAACATTCCAGTAACACAACAACAGTCTATTGAAGAGTTTGAATTCTCAGGCACTTGTCATTCCCAGAAATACTACAGGGGTTACCCTCAAGGCACCTGCTGCAGCGTAACCTGAATTTACAACCAAGGCTTACACGAAGTAGCAAAACTTCACTTTGGCATTCAGGGGAAAAATCCCAAGGAGTACAATCAGAAAGAAACACTCGAAGGTGTGGGGGCGAAACTGTTCAAGTATCTAACTAGTCACTGGCTCTGAGCATCGGCAGTCACCCGCAGGTGCAGATCCGAACTACTCAAGTCTCTAACCAATGTACTAGCTCTGAACATTCGGCCGCAGGCCTTCAGCTACAAAATGCGGAACGCTAAGTTGTAACTCCTCGTGCGTGGTGACAGAACTCAAGGACACAAACACGCAAAGGAAATGGGTTCCTGATCTGCACTTCTGATGGGAAAGAACCCCAGGCAAAACGCCTGGAACTATTTTATACCTTCTAGGTCCTACCTAGCACTACACTGCACTACGCTACACGCCTGCACGGAACCACGCTACACTACACTCCGCGGAACCTGTACTACGTCTCCTACGCGGCCGACTGCCGCGCACTAACTCCCTACCCTGCCACTCTTCCGCTCGACTACGCAGTCCCAACCGCTGCAACGCCGCGGACACCTCCCCCTCGAGGGCGGACATGGTATCTTGTGCCTTCGACAGAAAGGCCTCGAGCTTCTTCGCTACCTTCCGCCGACTCCTACTGTCGCCTGACAACAACCCGGCTGCGCGCAATTCAAACTCACGCAGTGTGAGTTTCTCCTGCGCCTTCACTTCCCAGTGGGCGTAGCCCTTGAGACAGTGGGCGACTCGCCTCGCCGTCTCCACCTTCGTGCGATCCGCCTCCTTCCTGCGATCCTCTTCAATCGTCACTAATTGCGATTCGGCTTCAGCACGTTGCGCTCTCAATTCGCCACACTCCGACTGCAAACTGCGGATTAATTCTTCATCCGCCTGCCGTGCGAGCTGACATTGTTCCAACAACCGCGTCTGTCTGTAATAACCCACCAAAGGCTAAAACTGCAGTATGGTGGTAAAAAGATCGAACCCACAGGGACAGAGGCAACACACAGAGTAAAAGTGTCACATTTAACAGACTTTTGGTAGAGTTTGAATTCTAGGCGACTGTCACTCCCAGAAATACTGCAGTGCTCGACTCGGAGGAGGATCTCAACTCGGAGGATGCTCGGAGGATGCACGGTACAGCTTGGTCACTCAACACACACACACACACCTGAAACTGGCAAAAAGCACAACTCGGAGGTCGGTCAGGACCTCCGCTTCGGATTTCAGGAGGAAAGTGTCTCGCAAGTTCACTCAGAGGTTCTGCAGGAAGTGCCTCCCACTCCGGCTTTTACTGCCCTTCCGCCAGGAACTAGCGGGGGTACCCGGACTGGACTTCTCACTTCGGAACGAAGCCTCTACGTACGCCGTGGACGTCACCCTCGACTATCACACAAAACGCAGGGAGTGCAGACCCGACTGAGAACTTACTGAAAACACGATCCAGTAACACACACACAACCTGAATTACAAACCAAGGTTTACACGAAGTAATGAAACTTCACATTGGCATTCAGGGGAAACTTCCCGTAGGAGTACAATCAGGATATGTCACTCGAAGGAGTAAGGGGGAACTGTTCAAGTATCTAACTCGCAGCCGGCTCTGAGTATCAGAAATCACCCGCAGGTGCAGATCCGCACTACTCAAGTCTCTAACCGGGTACTAGCTCTGAACATTCAGCCGAAGGCCTTCAACTACAACATACGGTAACTTCGCTATGCTGCAGCTTCTCTACGTGGTGCCAGGACCAAAATGCACAAACACGCCAAGAAAGTGAGTTCCTGATCTGCACTTCCGAAACTGGAAGAGTCAAAAGGCAAAACGCCTTGAACTACTTTATACCTTCTAAGGTCCTAACTAACACTACACTACCCGCTAGGGTGCGAGCCGCAACAGATCCTACACCTGAGAAGTCGGCGGCTACCTTCCCCTCTAACTTACAACCTAAATCTAACCCTAACCCTAAATCTAAATCCTAAGCCTACTGTACAGAGCCGCCAGCGTCTTTACATCCGAGATCTGAGGCTGAATATTTGCAGGCATGCGTGGCCGACTGAGATCAACGGCCCCACCAAATTTCAGATCCATCCGACCGTCCATCGCAGAGATATGGACTCCGCAAGATCTCTGAACCGCATCCGGTTTTCCGACTCCGAGTTTGCCGACTTGAAGTTCGCCGACCTCGAGTTCGCCGACCTCAAGTTCGCCGACTCCGAGTTCTCCGAAGGCGTTGACCGCCGAAGACGCACTTCCGCACCTTTGCCTATTTGTAACAGTCACTTCCGACACCCATAACTCACAGATCCTTGATCTGTTTCAAGAGTTCTTGGGCTCGTTGGAACGAGCGCGTCAAGCTCTTTCTAACGAGACCCTAATTGAGTCAAACCGTTACGAGTTGAAAGAGTTATGTCGGTTTTATCCTTGGCCGAAGGCACACTGTCAAAGGCTTGTTATCTGTTATCGCCGAAGGCGCCCGCACGATGTTTCGCCGACTCCGAGTTCTCTGACCTCAAGTTTGCCGACCTCGAGTTCGCTGACTTGAAGTTCGCCGACCTCGAGTTCGCCGACCTCAAGTTTGCCGACTCCGAGTTTGCTGACTTGAAGTTCTTTGACCTCGAGTTTGCCAACCTCAAGTTTGCCGACTCCGAGTTTGCTGACTTGAAGTTCGCCGACCTCGAGTTTGCCGACCTCAAGTTCTCCGACCTCGAGTTTTCCGACCTCGAGTTCTTCGACCTCGAGTTCGCCGACCTCAAGTTTGCCGACTCCGAGTTTGCTGACTTGAAGTTCTTTGACCTCGAGTTCGCCGACCTCAAGTTTTCCGACCTCGAGTTTTCCGACCTCGAGTTCTCCGACCTCGAGTTCGCCGACCTCAAGTTTGCCGACTCCGAGTTTGCCGACTTGAAGTTGACACGAAGACGTCCGTCGCCGAAGGCGAACATCTAGGGCCGAAGGTGGATATTCTGCTAACGACGAACTCCTTCCGCCTATCCGTAGGCGTTCTCCTTCGCATCTTCCGACAGTCACAACTCCCTGAGTCCTCATCCGTTCCAGGCGTTCTTGGTCTCGTTAGAACGAGCGCGTTGAGCTCTTTCCAACGAGACCCTAAGTAACTCAAGGCGTTAAGAATTTAGGAAGTTATGAGTGATCTACCGCCGAAGGTGCTCGAAGCGAGTCCTGCAGCGTGAACCGCCCGTTCCATTCCAAGCGTTCCACTGTGGCCTAAGCCCAAAACCCCTCGAC